CAGAGAGAGACAGAGAGAGGCAATTGCGCTCCTCTCTCTCTCTCTCTCTTTGTTTGTGTGTGTTTGTGTTTTTTTGTGTGTGTGTGTATGTGTAAAAGAGAGTGCATTCACAGTGTTCTCTGAGGAGCTGAAAAGCTTACTGGGCGGAGCTCCTCCCTTTCCTGCGTCTCTGCAGGAAGCAGGAAGGGCAGGAGAGAGCTAGCTAGCCCAGCTAGGCTGACTCAGGAATTCTGGGAGTTGAAGTCCATGAGTCATAAAAGAGACGAGGTTGCTTACCCCTGAGCTTGTTGGACAACAGCTGAAGCTTGCCAGGTGAGCAGCAGATAGGAGGGAGGGAGAAAGAGAGAGAGGGAGGGAGAGAGAGAGAGAGAGAGAGAGGAAAGAGAGAGAGAAAGAAAGACAGTGGGGGAAGAGGAGTGGCAGACCAAGGGCAGATAGAGAGGGAGGGAGAGAGAGAGACACAGAGAGAGAGAGACCCTTTTGACATCTAAAATGAAGATAACACTGCATATATCCTTTTTTTACCTGTGTGTGTATATAATTTTATTCTCTTAAAGCATTCTCTTGGTGATCATTGTTTTAATAGTATGGATATTCCCAAGAGTCATATTTTTACTTTTATTTTTAATGTGTGTGTGTGTGTGTATATGTATGTATGTATGTATGTATGTATGTGTGTATGTGTGTATATATATATATATATACACACACACACACACACACACAAATATATATATACACACAAATATCCATACACACACACACACACACACACACACACACACACCTATAATAAAGGTAAAAAAGGCAGTGTTATCTTCATTTTAGATATCGAAAGGGTTTTGTGGCTCCTGGTGTTTTGTTTTGGGTGGGAAACCGGTCCAAGTGGCTCTTTGAGTGTTTTGGGTTGCCTACCCCTGGTATAGGGTCTCCTGCCTGAGCAGGGGATTGGACTAGATGACCTCCAAGGTCCCTCTAACTCTGTTATTCGGTTATTCCAAAACCACTTGAACCTTTTATCTTAAGACTGATGAGGGTTTAAGTATCCAGAGACAAACCAGCATCCTGTTCCTTTATGAGGCTTCTCCCGCCAGGCTGCAACGTAGAGCACCCTACTTTGATTTGCAAAAGGCAGACAATTTTTTAAAGCTCACCCCCCCCCCAAGAAGGCCAAGTTTGCAAAAAAAAAAAAAAATATTGAGGGGGAGATACTAAGCTGGTCAAGAAGATTTAGAGGGGGGAGAAATATGATGGAGAAACCCAGTCCCCCCCCCGTCCCCCGTCCCCATGCAGGATGAGGGATTCTGCACAGCCTGGCAGGATGGATGCCACCCTCATGAGTGGCGGGCATCGTGCTTCCCAGCGTTGCAAACACTTGGGTTTATTCTGATTTTCTCCCCCCCCCCACCCTGGAGGGTGTCCAATATCTGGGGCGCCATCCAGGGAAGGAAAAGTAGGGAAGGAAATAAAAGGGGGAGGTGGGCCAGGGGTGGAAGCGAAGGGGGCTGAGTTTGACATAACTTCTGGCGAATCCGACCTGGGTCACGCCACATTTGAGAAATAACTCTGAAATTTAATTAGGTGGAGGCTCGGCACGGACGGACGTGTAGCCCGACACCAAAACTCGAGCCAGTCAGAGGAAGAGGACAACTGAGCCCGCGTGAAACCTGAAGCCCTTCCGAGCTTTTACGCTCAGTTGGCGTCTGGATTTGGGGCCAAAGAAAAGCATTTTTGCCAAATGCTTGTTTTCCAACAGGGCGCTCTTTATTTCTCCTCAGTGGTGGCTGCTGATTAGATCCCTCTAGAAAGATCATCAGTGGAAGGAAGGGGGAAAAAAAAAAGCAGCATTCCAGGAAACCATTTTTGCAGGTATACTGCTGCTGTAAAGGGAGGCTCCATCAAAGTCAATCTAGCTCCCCTCGCCCAGCCTCCTCCTTTGTTTTTCCCAGCCCCAAGTGTGGTGTTTCCAAACAGGCTCCAGCTCTTTTGCAGGATCTGGGGTTCTACAGCTAAACCGCCCCTGTCTATGGAGGCTCGCCACCCATCCCTGAGAATGGAGGCTATTATGAAGCTTCAGCAAATGTTATTGACGTGGAAACCCTGAAAATCGAGAGATTTTCTTGTTCAAGTGAAACAGAAGGCGTCCTTGCAAATACAAACGGCAGCAAAATTCAGCAATGCGCCTATTAAAACGCTGCCAAATTTTTTAAAAAATTGAGTTTGACTCCCCCCACCGGAAGGAAAAAAAAATGTGTTTTAAGCCTGAAAAGAACTATTAATATAATTTTTTTTAAAAAAAAGTACTATTATTCAATCTTGTGTTCTCCTTCAGTGAGTTAAGGGAAAGCAAGGCAGGGAAAGGTTAGGGTCCCATTTGCCTGTGGAACTCCCTGCAGCTAAAATGAGGCCAGGGCCGTCCAGAACCGTTTGCAGGAATATGTCAGAAGCGAAGCACCGGACATTCTGGTTTGTCCCCCTTAGCATCTGCCGCTTTTTAGCTCCTTTTTAACAAAGAAAAAAAAAATTTTAACGGGCAGCTGCCCTACGGTGGAGAAACCCCCTCCTTAATATTTAGAGGCACGCTTGTAAAATAAATAACGTTTTCACGAGGCCGAAATTGCACGGTTCTTCAAAAGCAAGGGAACCAGACCAAGCTGCTTTGTGAAAGAAGTGGGGTGCGTTGCATTTCTTGACACCCCAAAAGGCAAACAGCGCAGGGTGGGGAAGAACCTCACCTGGCACTGCCTGGCGAGGGAGCCCCCCCCCCCAAAAAAATTGGTCTTGCACCTGGCTTAGGTGTATCTCACTGCCTTTTTTGACCTCTGGATGCACACCTCGTCTCAGGGGTGTGTGGGGGGGGGTGTTCAGGCTCTTCCTCCTTCCCTCCCTTCCTCCTCCCTTTGGCCGTAACAAATCAAAGGGGGGGGGTCAGGAAGGGAAAATAGGTTGGGGGAGGCGAGGGCGGGGCCTTGGCTTCCCCCCGCCCCTCCAAAGGCAGCGCAGCATATGGAACAAGTTACCAAGAAGAACAGGCAACAGGAGAGAACTGTAGGCTTTCTGCCTCCCCAAATACGTGGGGAGCATTAAAGGGGGGGGGTGGGAGAAGGAATTCTGGATTGCAATTGGCTGGATGTCCCCTTCCTGCTCTTATCGGGTGGGGAGGAATTACCAGATTCGTTCTAGAGCCCCAGAAGGTCATTGTGCAGGAAAAGTTGGCTGCTCGGACACGGGGGGGAGGGTAGGCAGAGACACCCCCCCTTGGCCAGTTTTTGCTGCCAAGGTCTTGCAAAAGTTCCCCTTCACTCAAACCCCAAACAGCTTTCAGAAAAAGGCTGGGGAAAGAAGGTGGGTTCAGAAACGCACCCCCCGTTTAGGTCGGGGTAGCTGGAGGACCCCTCCCCATAAGCCTTCCAAGGCAAGGAAATTGGGAAAGGGGTCTCCTGCTTTACCTGCAGAACATCCTTAGGGAGTCGGGAGGGGGCTGGGGGCTCCCTCGAGCTATTCCCCCATCTTGCGCTGAAGGAAGTCCAGGTGTGGGCCAGACAGGTGGGCAGAGAGGCTGGCTGCAGAGGTGGATGGGGAGGGAGACCCCCTCGGTCTCCAGCCGGGCCTTGCTGGCTGACCTCAGCTGGGCTCCCGTGGGTGGGTGGGTGCAGAAGAGATGCCGAATTAATCCCCCGGCCGCCTCCTCCGACGCAGCCCCCTCGCCTTTCTTTATGTATTCATGAATTGCGCGGAAGAGAAATGAGACTTCATTACCTCACAAAACTGTTACTAATGACTCTTCTTACCTGCCGCTCAGCCCCTCTAATGCGAGACACACGGGGAGAGAAATGTATTTGCCTATTCAGAGGCCGGGCGGGGAATGGAAAATTTCCCATCCTTCGCCTGGCCTCATTCCGCATTCACTCGGAGCAACGTTCTCCATTCTTCTGCCATTATGTCCTACCAGGCCCTCTGAGCCGGCTGGCATGACCTTCCCATTAGCTGAAAATGGGAAAGGCGGTGGGGAGGTAAGGGGAAGGGCTGGCCAGGCAGGGTTTCTATCTATCCCCGGATGGGAAGGGAGGGGAAAGAAAGAAAGAAAGAAAGAAAGAAAGAAAGAAAGAAAGAAAGAAAGAAAGAAAGAAAGAAAGAAAGAAAGAAAGAAAGAAAGAAAGAAAAGAGAGAGAGAGAGAGAGAAAGACGGAGGGAGGGAAGGGAAGGGGAGGGAAGGGAAGAAACAAGGGAAGGAGAAAGAAAAGAAAGAAAGAAGGGAGGGAGGGAGGGAAGGAGGGGAGGGAAGGAGAGAAGGGAATAGAAGGGAAGGAAAGAGGGAAGGGAAGGAAGGGAGAAAGAAAAGAAAGAAAAGAAAGGAGGGAAGGAGGGAAGGGGAGGAAGGAGGAGAAGGGATAAGGGAAAGGAAGGAACAAGGGAAGGAAGGGAGAAAGAAAAAAAGAAAGAAAGAAAGAAAGAAAGAACAAGTGAGAGAGAAAGAAAGAAAGGAAGAGAGAAAAAGAAAGAAAGAAAAGAAAGGAAGAAAGAAAGAAAGAAAGAAGAGGAAATATAGGGGAAGGAAGGAAGGAAGGAAGGAAGGAAAGAAGGAAGGAAGGAAGGAAGGAAGGAAGGAAGGAAGGAAGGAAGGAAGGAAGGAAGGAAGGAAGGAAGGCCATTCACCACATATTTAATATTTTACAATTGCTAACATTTAAATCATTTTATATTTCAGGAAAGAAAACGGGGAGATCAGCCACCCAAAGTTGTACATAGTGTTGACCTTTCCATCCAGAGGTTAAATACTTGTACACTTGTGTGGAAAGAGAAATAATTTTTTGACTGCAGAGGAAGAAACCTTGTGTGGTCCTTTGAGGCCTAAACTGAAAGAACCCTTGATAAATTTATTTTAGTTCACAGTCTAGAGTTTCCCTCTATGTGTCATTGTGTATCCAAACCACTGCAGCTGCTGAAACAACCGTGGTTCAGCAAAACCAGGGTTGCAGATGATGTGTGAACATGGTTACCGTGCTTCCTTCACAGCGGAGTCAGTGTTCCTGGTGGACTTGAAGAGAACTCCAAGCTCTTGGTCCTTCCCAGCCAGCTCCATCTCTTCTGGATGCATTTGATACGCAAGACGGTCCGGTTGTGATGACGTACAAGGCAGAACAGTGGATTTGACACCCTGTGAATTAATCAGAGAACAAGGATGGGCAAACAAGCCACTGATGCGGTGTCGCTCTGGCCTTGATTAAATTAGAAACCTCTTCAACGAGTGCCAAAAATAAAAAATAAAAAATTAAAAAAAAAGACGGACAGGCCATAATGAAGTGGGTAGGAGAGGTTGACCAGGCTGGAGGGGGTGTGAAAAGGAAATGAAAACACAACCCGCAAACTTGGCACCAGCTGGCAACATTTCCATCTTGACTAGCAAGGCTGAGAAGGGGGGTGTTCCCCCCCAAAAAAATACAGGTCAAATTGCATTTTGCAAAGAGTCCTCCTCTCCCAGTCCATCCAGGAGCCTGAAGGATGCATTGTGGGGAGGATTTTGCAAAAGCACCGTCTCATTTTTTTTGGGGGGGGGGAGCAGATTGAGATCCTGGGTGCATTAGGAGCATCCCAGGTGTCCCCAAACCCCTGGCACCCTTCGTGCCTGCTGGCTGGGCAACTGCATTCCCAGTCTGCAATTGTTCTACGTGACTCTCGAATTAACAGTGCAAAGCGCCTTTTAGAACAGATGGATAGTTCCAAAAGTTAACAAGGGGTTAAACGGTTTGGGTAAGTAGATTAAACATCAAACTGGGGTGCAGGTTTTTTTTTAATAACAAGTTTTATTAAATTTCCAATTTTACATCCAAACGATTAGGAAGCAACGTGGTGGTTGGGTAGTCAAAAGTCCAAGAACAAAATCTTTTGTACACCTCTGGGGTTACATCATCAAAATTTCCCTGTTTCCCTTATTACCATATCACAATCAAATTAATACATTACTAATTATAACACGATCAATTAAAACATTTATCAATATATTTTTACTTATACTTATCATGTCCTGTTCTTGAATTTTACCTAATTTCAATTACAGTGCTCCAATTTAGCCTTTAAGATCCATAATATTTAGCTTTTGGGTAACCCAAATTTTTCCTATTTCATTACATAGTAGTTATCGTATCTAAAATGCACATATTGCTTAGTTAAATACATTCTTATCTTATTTCACAAATATATTTCACAAGTATGTTCTATTTCTCATCCTAGTACCTTATCCCTTACTAGCACATAATATCCTTTATGTCTCAATCCAATGTCCATATTATAATTCAAAACTATATTCTAATAGATCTAAATCCTAAATATTAAATCAATTAATATCTTTTAAAGTCTCCCCAAAGTGGGGCGCAGTTTTTGATGGGTGCCCGTTCCCATCCTTTTCTTAGCGTTCTTCCCTTCTCCCCAACCTAAAATAAGGAATATTTGAAGAAATCTTATTTATTTCCTTTGAAACAAACAGATTCCCCCCCCCTTCCGTGCTGCCTCCCCTACAGAAACCTAATACAGGTGATTTTGTTTAGTTTTTCCATCAGGCCTGCTGAAACCTCGGACCAGGCCAGGCGGAAGTCTTGGCTACTGTTTCTGCTTCTTTGCAGGAAAATTCAATTAACCAAGTGATGCAAAGAATAACCTAAGCCTCTTTCTTCCCTCCCCATCACCTTTCCGAGAAGTGAGACCCAAAATTCTCAATTTCCAGGTACGTTATGTCACCTTGCGTGAGCTACAGAAGCAACAAACAGGCGGGGGGGGGGGGAATAGAATTAGTCTAAAGGCAGATCAATTTTTGCAGAGATGGTTAATCTGGTATTTTGACCCTTCCTCTAAGGCTGGTGGCTAAATTGCTTTCACCAAGAAAACAGAATTGAGCGCTTAGAAGCAAACAAATGAATTGCACTTCAATTTTGCCTGTGTTTATATCTAGTTCCAGTTTATTCTTGCGGCTGCTTAAAATGAAATTTAAAAAACAAAGCATGAGTGTCCACATTATTTTGCAATAGTGTTCTTGGTTATCTTCGAATCTTAAATCAGTTGACAATGACACCTGCCCGCAAAATAGCATAGGTGACTAATGGTAGAAGACCAAAAAAAAAAAAAAAAAAAAATTCAAAATAGGAAAAAAAAACAATTCAGATGAAACCCAGTTTATAAACTGTTTAACTCCATTTCTAAATACACTCAGCCATTTCTTTGAAGTTCTGGCTATTGTATTCGCAGGCTAATAGGTAGGATCATTTCTGCCCAATTTTCGACAGAAATATTTCTGCCTTCGACGATTCCTTTAAAAAGAAGATCCAGGGTGAATCTGTTACCCTTCATTCTTAAATAGTGATTTTTGATGCCCCCACCCATGGGTGTAATCTGGAGATATTCTGAGGTGTAATTTATAATCAAGGATCCCGACCGGACTGCAGCTGCTGAGATGTTTGTGCAAAACAACAGAATATTTTTTGGGGAGGCGGGAAAGCAGCAAATGGGTTGAAAAGTTTAAGAACCACTAAACTACACCATCCTTGCATTTAAAAAAGGCACGATTTTTGCAGACTTCTGTTGAATCCTGTTGATTTTTAATTCAGCCCCAGGCTGAGAACAGCAACCGTCTGGGGTCTCAGGCACCCCCATTTTTTTGCCCACCCGTGTTGTCTCCATGAATCACTTCTGGGGTGGCTTGGAAGGGCACAGCCCATAAGTCTGAGGAATGGGCATGCCAAGCCCTGTGCCCCCACAACCAGCACAATATGCTAGCTTTTAAGGTGGTGGGAACGATGCCATCACCCCAAGACAGATGTGCAATTTTCCCAGAACAAAAAGTGCTGAGCTCAGATTGACCAGGCGGGCCGAGAACACCCAGGCGGAGGAGACATTTTTCAGACAAGGGGTGGGTTGGCACAGGTGGCATCAAAAGACTCAAAATAAGAGCCCACAACAACGTTTCCTTTCCTTGGTGTCCCCATCAGAAGACGGTGGAGATGAAAGGAAGCAGAAACGGTGTCCAATGGGGTAAAACATCCCATGCTTTCTGCTCACTGCGATTTGCATTCTTTGCCAAAATAAAAAATAAAAATTAAGAATGAACCTGCTTTAAAGTGCATCACAAACACACACACACAAAGGCCCATCTTCCTTGCCAGGAACAGACCTCCTGTGTGAAAATTCTTGGTAGGATAACTCAAGGGGAAATGGATCTCTAGGCGATCCACTCTGCAAATGGATCATCCTGAGGGAGGGGTGTGTGTTTCCGTGTGAAGAGAAAGGTTTTCACGAAATGAAGGTGAAGATACGTATCCCAGTATTTGTGGGGCTGCCCCAAAGAAGAGGGAGTCAAGCTATTCTCCAAAGCGCCTGAAGGCAGGACAAGAAGCAACGGATGGAAACTCATCAAGGAGAGAAGCAACCTGGAACTAAGGAGAAACTTCCTAACAGTGAGGACAATTAACCAGTGGAACAGCTTGCCACTGGAAGTTGTGGGTGCTCCATCACTGGAGGTTTTTAAGAAGAGACTAGACAGTCACTTGTCTGAAATGGTATAGGATCTCCTGCTTGAGCAGGGGGCTGGACTAGAAGACCTCCAAGGTCCCTTTCTCTATTCTATTCTATTCTATTCTATTCTATTCTATTCTATTCTATTCTATTCTATTCTATTCTATTCTATTCTATTCCATTCTATTCTCATCCATTCTCTATTCTATTCTATTCTATTCTATTCTATTCTATTCTATTCTATTCTATTCTATGCTATTCTATTCTATTCTATTCTATTCTAATTCTACTACTCTACTCTACTCTACATTCCCTTATTCTATTCTATTCTATTCTATTCTATTCTACTCTACCCTACCCTACCCTACTTTATTCTATTCTATTCTATTCTATTCTAATGTTGCAGGATCCAATCCAAGTCAGTTACTGGTGCTGATGCCCATCCTCAGGGAACTTCTCTTTGTCAGATTTGACAAATTTGACTGGTGGACATATACGTTTTCCGGACAGCCTCTTGGAAAGACTGAGCAATGGTCCTTTTGGATTATTTTAAAATCTTAGTTAATATTACCATTAGCAGCATTCAGAGATGTGTGCAAATCTCAACCCTTCAATTTGCATTCCTTCATTTTATTCCCATTCTAGCCTAAAATTATGCAATAGTCCATGCTATTCCTTTGACTCTTTGGGGGGTGGGTGGGGTTTTTGCCCCTGTCCTTCCCCTCCACCCTCAAAGATAACGCTGATGGTTTGTTTTAAACAAGGGAGGTTTAAATCTCGGTGTTCTGCAGAAAATGCCTCCTGGCACACAGACCCAAATCAATCAGGTTATTGATGAAGGTGGTTATTTTTTGTGAATTACGGCCCAATCCTGCCCGGATTTCCGAGCAGCCAATTCAGGGCTAAAATGTTGGCTGCAAAAGGGAAAGACTGTTATGAAAAGCTGCACGCCCAGCCGCTGCCTCCTCCAGTTTGGAGGAAAAGATGTCAGTTCGACATCTGCCAAGGGGAGAGTTTTAGAAAAGCTCTGTCTTGCGGTCTTATGTGTGGAAGAAAAGATGCAGTCATATTTCAAGAACGCGGGGGGGGGGAGAGAAGAGGGATCCCAAAATATTTTCCCAGGCTACGGATAGTTGCACAGCTGGCCTCCATCCCACTCGGGGAAAACATAAGCGGGGGGGGGGGGATGAGAGGTTAGAAAAGGATTCGGCCAGGCTGGGTAAGAAAAATGAAACTTTTTTTTTCCTTTGCAGCTGCTGTTTCTACTGGCAAGGGGGGGGGGAGGAGGAGGAGAACTGTGGGGGTCCTTGGTGCTCTCGGAGCCTGGTGGTTTTCTTTCAGACGTTTCATGACCCAGCTAGGGAACATCATCCGTGCTGGAAGAGAGTGGGGTTTGCAGGGAGGAGGAGGAGGATAATGATGATGAGGATGATGATGATGAGGAGGAGGACTGTGGGATCCTTGGTACTCTCTGAGCCTGGTGGTTTTCTTTCAGACGTTTCATGACCCAGCTAGGGAACATCATCCGTGCTGGAAGAGAGTGGGGTTTGCAGGGAGGAGGAGGATAATGATGATGAGGATGAGGATGATGATGAGGAGGAGGAGGACTGTGGGATCCTTGGTACTCTCTGAGCCTGGTGGTTTTCTGGCAGACGT